CACGCCTATGATTTATCCTATAATGGAACATGTGAATCTTACTAAATGTAGAATATAAATATCTTAACACAACACTTAAGAAAATGACATGAAGGCTATGTTAATCAGTTGGATGAAAGTATTTCAAATTGTATATAGAAACAACCCACTGTACCCCATGATAGTATTAATGTACACAGCTACAACTTAATAAAATATAAGAAAAAAAAAACCCACAAAACAACTACAGGAAAAAATGATAAAATAGACTGCACCATAATTAAGAACTTCAAATTGATAAATATATAAGTAACACATATTAGAGCATACATATGATAAGTATAACATAACACGTAAACAAATATGCACACATGCACACACATGCACTTCTCCCAAAATAAGATATGCAATGGCCAATGAAAAATAAATTTGTGAAAAGTTACTTAACATCCCTCTTCATAAGGGAAATGTAAATTTTAAGCATGATGCCACTTTACATATTTCATACAGTTATAATGTGAAATCTCACAGTACCATCTATTCAACAATATTGACATCATCTGAAACTTTTAGTACATTTGATTGAATGTAAATATGTTCAGCCTTTCAGTAAATTATAAGCAATGTTTACCAAAGCAAAATCTATTCTAACCTTATAACTCCACACTCTGTTCCTAAAAATATTTCCAAAATGATGAGTGCATAAGTCCATCCAAGGCATGCTTGCGAAAACCATATTAATAATATGCCCAAACTGAAAATAATTGAAAAATGAATAAATGGTGTTATATTTATTAAGGAGAAAATTATTCACAATGAAGAGGAACAAATTACTACCATAAACACAAGATAGATAAAGCTTGAACATATATTGATCAAAGGAAGTAGGGCAATGAAGAGTAGATACTGTTGGATACCTTTCATATGAAGTTATAGAGAAGAGAAAATTGATGAATATTAATGGAAATTAGATGGTGATGCCCTAATGCTGGTGGATGGAGCAGAGAATTGAGGGAAAGAGCCTGGAGAGTCTATTGAGATGCTGGAGGCAGTCACATCTTAATCCAGGTAGTTGTTAGAGAGGGACATATGTTTTTTATCTATATTATAAGTTAATTAACTAATTAACTAATCAGTAGGAATTATGGAATCAGAGTATCAGGTCTTATTTCTATCTTTTTCCCTATGAGCCCTGGTACTTAGAGCTAGTAATTGTCTGAGAGCCTGTGTTTCTTAGCTATAGAAGTGTAATGTGGGGTTAATTGCACTAGGTAATTAAGCCCTTAGTACAGATTTAACACATAATTAAGGCTTCAAGATTTCAGTAGAAGACACCTGGTAGTATGGGTAGTGTTTCTGAGGTTGCTTTTATTGTTACTATTGTTATTATGGATATAGTCTCTCCCTCCCTTTCCCAACCATCTCTACCTAATTCTCTGCCTTTAAAAACATCTCATGTAGAGACTCAAAGACCAGGCAAAACACGAATTTTGTTGCAGGCCTGATCTACATATGTCATTTTTAAATTAATTCAAAGTTTGGGGCCTTGTGCTGTCAAGAAACAAAGTTTTCATAAGACTAGAGTTCCTTGCAGGATGTGTAAATGCTGTAAAACATTCTAAGAAATAGACCCTGCACAGCTGCTGGGACCTCATAACCTCACAACTTCACTGCACAGCCAGCCTAGGAGGCAGGTTTAGGCTCAGAGGTGTAACACGGGGGTGGGGTGGGGGGGGAGGAACTAGATAGTCCTGCTGGTCCACTGTAATCACTTGACACGAGTTACTAGTCTGATCTCCAATATTAGAGGTTGAGGAGGTATCATGACTCTTGGCACGTTGGATGCTCAGAAGGGCCAGTAGCCATGTGAGCTTCCATAGTTGAAATACATATTGTTAAGGCCATGCACAGACCTCCTTGGTGTTCAGGAATCTGGCTAAAAGAGCTGGGCAAGGTGACTTTAGTCTATGTGAAATATTATCTTAATTATTATGAAATTCTTGAAATTCTTGTTGAGTAATGGCCTTTAAATTATGGGAGGCATTTATTTTTTACTTTGGCTCATTTTGAGAATTCCAGTCATAGTTTTCCAACCAATCTTGTCTCTTCAGTTGTGTTTCTTCTAAGGCCTGATAATCTGCCAGAACCTAGAGTCTATGAGACTATGTCATTGAATTGCTTATCATTCTTTGCAGAGTGGCCATGAGATGTAAGCCTTGGAGACGTCCCACTGTTGTGATTTCTATTCTTCCAGGGTATCCTTGATGATGGGAGGGTGTGACCTCAGTCCAGGATGAACTTCTGACTAATTTCAAGGCATTGCTGTGTCTCCAAATTCAAATAATTCAAAAGCAGAAGGAGACACCTAGATTAACCTTGAAAATTGTGCTTACTTTCTATATATAAGCATATAAATATAAATGTATATATAAGCATGTACAGTTAACAATATATCAAATAACTATAATGTCTATGCACCTATATGTGTATTATAGACACATACACACATTTTTTAACAAAATAATATTTTATTATTTTTACTTTTTTCTTAGTTATTGTGTTAAGACATTTATAGTTTTCATTTAGAAAGATTCACATGTACCCTTGAAAGATAACCTATAGACGTGATCCCACCAATCACCCTCCCTCCACCCATCCTCCCCCTCCCTTTCCCTCCCTCTCCTCTTCCCCCATATTCTTGGGCTATAATTGGGTTACATCTCTCCTGTGAAAACTATAAATTAGTTTCATAGTAGGGCTGAGTACAGTGAATACTTTTTCTTCCATTCTTGAGATACTTTGCTATCTTCTCTTTTTACTCAAATATTATTCAGTTTTAATTTATAATGTCTTTGTGAATGGATTATTAAACATTAATAGAGGCCATATTTTTCTATTTTATAATTTTTATTTTTTTTTATTGTTTCAAGTATCAAGAATTAGGTTACAATGTTTGCATTTGTTAGATAAAGTCCCTCATAAAGCCATATTTTAATAAAATACATTTATCTGTATGGCCAGATCTTTTATTGGTTAACATTTGCCTACTAATGATTTTAGACAACTCAAATCTTAGTGGCTTATAACACCAAGCATGCCTTTTCATGTTCATGGATTTTCATGTTAACAATTTGACAGATGCAGGCAGGGCTCAGTTGGGTGGCTATATTGCAGGCCACTGAGCTTATTTCCATTTTTGTTTGTTTGTTTGTTTTTTGAGACAGTCTCACTATGTCACCCTCAGTAGGGTGCTGTGACATCACAGCTCGCAGCAACCTCAAACTCTTGGGCTCAAGGGAGTCTCTTGCCTCAGCCTCACAAATAGCTGGGGCTACAGGCACCCGCCACAATGCCTGGCTATTCTTTTGTTGCATATGTCATCATTGCCTAGGTAGCCCAGGCCGGGTATGAGCTCGCCATCCTGGGTATATGTGGCTGGTGCCATAACCACTGTGCTACTTGCACTGAGCCTGAGCTTATTTCCATTCTGTGGATTGTCTGATCTGCTGCCAAAGCTGAAGGGCAGTGAGTACTCATAGCACGACATTCTCACAGTGAGTACAGGGCTGAGCAAAATCCTCACACAAAGTTTCACAGACAAATATTTGATCATGCTATTGACAAATAATATTGTTTTTCATCTTTTACTGTCCTAAAAGATTTTAATTTTTCATTAATTAGAAGGCAAAGATGGGGGTATTTTTTGTAACATATGACTTTTTATGGAACTTTCTTAAAGGACCAGGAAAGGAGAGGAAAAAACTATTTGCCTCATATAAATGTCCCCTAAAATGTAGTTTCTCCAAAATGGGGGCAGAGGAAGTCAAACTATCACTCTTTGTTGATGATATAATGTTATACCTAGAAAACCCAAAGATTCAGCCAATACTCTTGAAATTGATAATGAAATAGAGTGATGCCTGTGGCTCAGTGGGTAGGGCACCGGCCCCATATACCAGGGATGGCAAGTTCAAACACAGCCCCAGCCAAACTGCAACAAAAAAATAGCCGGGTGTTGTGGCAGGCACCTGTGGTCCCAGCTACTCAGGAGTCTGAGGCAAGAGAATTGCCTACGTCCAAGAGCTGGAGGTTGCTGTGAGACTTGATGCCATGACACTGTACTGAGGGTGACAAAGTGAGACTCGATCTCTAAAAAAAGAAAAAGAAATACAGCAACATCAAGGATACAAAATCAGTGTATACAAATCAGTAGCTTTAATTTATGCCTTTCATTTATCTCACAATCCCATTATTAGGTATGTACCCAGAAGAAAAAAAAAATCATTTTCCCACAAGGATATTTGCACTGGAATGTTTACTACAGCTCAACTCACAATTGCCAAGACAAAGAAGCAACCCAAGTGCCCATCAACCTGTGAATGAATTAGCAAACTCTGGTATAGGTACACCATGGAGTACTGTTCAGCCATAGGAAAAGATGGAGACTTTACATCTTTCATGTTTACCTGGAAGGGATTGAAACTCATTTTTTTAATGAAGTATCACAAGAATGAAAAAAAATGTATCTAATCTACTCAATTCCAATATGAAACCAGTATATAAACAACTGCAGCTTCAAGTGAAAAAACACATAAGTATATTATAGTGAGTGTGGAGAGGAGGGAATAGGGAACAGGGAGGATGGAGAGTGATTGGTGGTATCTCACCTAAGGTGCACAATGTGGGAGTATTTAGCATGCCCCCTGGTGAAGGGCTTAACTTGAACTTTACCTTAGAAGAAAATGATGCAATCTAAACATTTGTACCTTCATATTAATCTGAGATTTAAAAAAAACAACTTGGAACACCTAGAGTACCTTTTCCTTTGCTATATGAAGCCCGAGTAGTGATGTAATCCAGATTCCTCAAGTGAAATCACAGCTCTGCTTTCTTAAAACAGGATAGTCGGGGGCGCCTGTGGCTCAAAGGAGTAGGGCGCTGGCCCCATATGCCAGAGGTAGCAGGTTCAAACCGAACCCTGGCCAAAAACTGCAAAAAAATAAAAAATTAAAAAATTAAAATTAAAACAGGATAGTCACTGCTATGTCAGTGTTTCTATGGGTTGAAGAAGAGAAGAGAAGCTTAGAGAGGAGAGGAGCCTCCAGGCCCCGTTTATCACCCCCACCCCCCCACCCCCAGGGACCTTCAGAGCCTTGTTGTCTCTGAGAAATGCACTCAGCAGATGGAGTCACCAGGAGGAACAGCTGGGTCAGCCCAGCCTTACACAGTTTCTTCCCCTGGGGGTTTATGTTCAGGCTTGTAACACTGTGAGGTGTACCATAATCGTTTTGACAGTAATAAGTTGCAGCATCTTCAGCCTGTAGTCCGCTGATGGTGAGAGTGAAATCTGTTCCGTATCCACTGCCACTGAACCTTGAGGGAACCCCAGATTGCAAAGTAGATGCAGCATAGATCAGCAGCTTGGGAGATGCCCCTGGTTTCTGCTGATACCAGTTTAACTCATTGTTAATGCCTTGACTGGCCTGGCACCTGATGGTGACTGTGTCTCCTAGAGATGCTGACAGGGAGGATGGAGACTGGGTCATCTGGATGGCACAGCTGGCACCTGAGATTGGAAACATCATTAATAATATGTTATTAATAAAATTATAAGAGGATTCCCCCTGAGGAGCCAGGCAGGACTGACCACAGTGCTGAGTAAATCTCTGGTGTTCTCTCTCCTTACCTAGGAGCCAGAGTAGCAGGAGCCCCAGGAGCTGAGTGGGGGCCCTTGTGTCCATGCTGTGTTCTGACACAGACTGACTCCTGAACAGGGTCTGATCAGCCTGTTAATAAGTGTCCAAGGTGAGGGTTGTGCCCTGAGAACATGCAAATCAGCAAGGGGAAGGGCCGATTGGGCAGGGGGGTGAGCAGGCTGGGCACAGCTGCAGGGCTGGCTCATCTCAGTGACTGAACAGGCCCAGTGTCCCCAGGTGTGCCATATTATGTCAGGACGACACAAATTTGTCTGTAGAGAATGTGTTTCTTCTTAGGGATACCAGGCACAATTAGGCTGCTGTCTTGTGAGTAGAATTTTCTACTGATACTTTGAGGTTCATGTCATGCTTCTCTCTCTCTCTCTCTCTTCTTCTGAGACAGGGTCTATAGATCTATCACAACTGTCAAATCTCACAGATATCTTTCAGGCTCCCTGCTTTTGGTACCTGGGCTAATTTTCAAGGCCAGAAGTCCTTTCTTATTGCTGCATTTGCCTGGCAATTTTGATGTGGCACATTCTCAGCACTACTATCCAGAGACGTGGTTGGGTAGAAGAGGAACAGAAATGTACAGCTGCCATAATTTGTAAAGGAAATCTTCATACACTGCTATCTGCTATTTGCCTTTGTTATCTTGTCATCTGCAGCTAATCTCTGTGTCCTGCTTTATCTCTGAATGCTCAGTCCTACTATTAGTGCAAGTGGAAGTGATGATGGAAGCAACCAAGTTAGTCTTGGTCAGGAATGTCCTCCCTCTACATCTGAGCAATCTTGGCTATGTTTCTAGCTATGCATATTATGGCACATTTTCAGGTTTAGTGTTCCCTGAGATGCTGAATAATCTCTTAACCCTGGCTGTTCTTTACAGAGGCAGAGCTCCTTCTTTTAAACATTGCTCACATATACTCTTGTATCTTCTGAGTGGCCTAAAGCCTGTATATTCATCCTTCACCAAATTCTTTCAGTTCCTAAGAGAACACAGTTCTCAACAGTTAGGTTAAAAACACTGGGGCCTATTTCAAGTGAGAAGACACCTAGGAGGGAGGTAAAAGTGGAATCTTTGCACAGCTTGTTGAAGCCCACACAACATGGAAAGGGCACCTATGTGGGGTGGAGGGGAAGGACAGTATGGGATGTTGGGGTGTGGAGATGAAGTGAGAGGAGGAAAGTTTTCAAAGTTATGAGATATCCTAGGATAACTGTTGTGACCAGGAGGGATGATGAGGTCTCCCCTGGATGGGGAGCAAAGTTTACAGTACCCTGGCTGGGATATCAGAGCCCGAGCAGGGTGTATGAACAAGGGTGAGGGGGACAGTGTCTGCAATAAGAAGGCAGGTGGCAGGAACAACAGAAGATTGGTTTCATCCAGGAGGGTTGTTGATCACATAAATGAATGCATTAAGGATAGTTGGAACCAGGTTTCTCATCACTGAAGAAATCAGCTACAATATAAAGAACTGAAAATTATGTCTATAAATTTATTCCAGACTAAACTGTGGTTTGGGATTGGAAGTATGGCTGTCTGTGTAATTCACCAATGTGTATAAGAATAAATATGAATGGATGGATGGATATATACGCAAACACACACATATATATATGTATTTCTATATATGTGTGTGTGTGTGTGTGTGTGTGTGTGTGTATACAGGTGGATGAGAGGTAATTTTTCCTAGATTCCAAGCATGTTACCTGAGTTCCAATAAGCATGCATTGTATCCACAGGTCCCCACTGAAGATGCCAGTGATCCATGGAGAAATGGCCGATTCCAGGTCTAGGACAGGAAAAATACATCTTGGACCATCTTGTGTGAGAAACTTAGAAGTATTCAAAGAATAATGAGATTATGTTAAAAGTGAAGAGAATCCAGCTAGTATAAAACTCCCAGTGGCCAAACTTGTGGGACTTAACTATCAAATACAAATTATAACATTATAATGCATTAAAGAGAAATGAACCCGTCCTCTCCTATTGGTGTTTTGGTAAGGAATGGGATATTGACAAAATAGCCAAGAAATTCCTGATAAATTATTATTAATATAACAGAAATTATGCAGTTGAGAATGTCTTGACAGACACCATCGTAAACCAGAAATTGAAGTAAACATAATTAGCAATGGGACCGATTAGTATAGACCACCTAGTAGAATGCATTGAGAAAAACAAGTATCAACCCTAGATATTCCTGCCAAAGATATATGCCTAAATCTAAACTTGAGGAAGAACAAATCCAAACTGATGACTATTCAACAAAATGGCTGATGTATAATTATCAAAAGTGATATTATCATGAAGTTGAAGGAATAAGTGTAGGATTGTTCTAGACCAAAGGAAACTGAGACATGGTAACATGTCCATCTGGGCTGAATGAGTGTTATAAAGACATAATGAAGATAATTGTCAAAATTCGAAATGTATCTGAGGATTAGGTGAAGTAACATATTAATGCGGATTTCTTGACTTCATGAGTGTGCTGGATTATTAAGGGTAATTTTAATTTGTAGCAAATGCATAGTAAAGTCTCAGAGGGTGAAGCAATTAGCTCTTCAACTTACCCCAAAATGGTTCAAGGGAAAATACCTATTATAACTATTTTCAGCTATAATTATGATTTTTTTCTTTTTTCACATTTCTTATTTTATTTTATTTTTATTTCAGGATGTTAGGGGCAGATATGTTTTGTTTATATGCTTTTCTCTCTGTGAGACAGAGTCTCATTCTGTCACCCTGAGTAGAGTGCCCGGGCCTCAGCATAACTAACAACAACTTTAAACTCCTGGGTTCAAGCAATACTCCTGCCTCAGCCTACCTTATATCTGAGACTACAGGCACCTGCAACAATGCCTTGCTAATTTTTCTATTTTTAGTAGAGATGGGGTTTTGTTCTTGCTGTGGCTGGTCTTGAACTTGTGAGCTCAAGTGATCTTCCCACTTCAGTCTCCCAGAGTGCTAGGATTATAAACATGAGCCACCACATTCACTCTATACTTTGTTTTTGTTATATTTCTATTTGAAAGTGTTCATTTTTTAAATACAAAAATATTTCTTGATTTCATGCTAAAGGTATTATAAAACATTTGAAATTGGTGTTGTTCCATCATTAAGACTATTAAAGGACTTACTAATTTACTTCAGATACAGAAAAAAGACCATACATCCTCGAAGGGTATGTCACTTGCAAGTGTCCTATCCAAAGCCATCATTCTCTTTAATGCCCAGTGCACTGAATATATTACACATTATTCTTTTTGGAGGCACCTTTGGATTCTACCTTATTCATAGCTTTTAAAATTAGAATGAAATTATGATAAATTATCCTATATGTGCTATATATGATCATTAAAAAAAATTCTGTTCTGCATTCTCTAACTAAAGGGCACAGCCATGGAATTAGAGTCTGAATTGGGATGCACAAGAGTCAAGGAATGTTCTCCAGAGAATCACTTCTCTCTAAGTAGGTTCAAGATCAACACCATATCACTTGGGAAATTGCTCTGAGTTGCAGAAAGAACAGAAAGGAAAATGCCATCCACCAATATACTTGTATATGCTTTGAGGAGCCCCTGCAAAACGCATCCTCTTCTTTCTTCTGCTGTGTTTACTTTACACTTCCATATACCCCACCCCACGTATCTGTCATTCATACCTGAATTTTCTGTGTCACCAGGAATGTGTGCAGAAAAAATCAATTTTACGACTCCATTATTTTCAGGAATCCACCTTGAAATTTCAGCAGGTGTACCACATGGTCAACCAGGGGCATCACCTTGGACTACAAAATCCATGGGTTTTCTTCTGTTTGCTTATTTGTTTTTATGTTCATTTCTAACGGATGTCATGAATGTTATCTGGAAACCCTGAAAGATCAGACTCAACTCTCCACCCCAACTTGCATTCACCTGCTCTATCAGAAAACTGCTGGATTTTGCTGCCATTCTCTGCGGTGCTTGCTGGCTTAGCTGGGGTGGAAGAGAGATGTCCCAACAAAGACACAGAATTTTCCTGTTGTTACTGAAAGTACTAGTCCTTTCAAGGAATATGTATTTCTCACATTTTTGATGCTTTGCCAACTTCTAGAGCACTGAAGTAGTTTCGGTATTTTTTTTCAGCTTTCTGGCTTTCACGTTTTTATTTGTTGTTTATTTTTAACAAAATGTTTAATAAACTCATTGTTATAGGATAAGAAGGATGCCAGCTAAACTGAATTTAAATAAGCATAATAGCCACACTAAAAGGAAATAAGGGTATGGACTACCATAATCAATTTTGCAGTTGAGAATTTAAACTCTACACCCTAAGTTAAAGACAAACCAAGTTCTTCATAAATATTGAACCCTAATTTCTAGATTTTTCTGTTCTCATTGTGCTCACAATTTTTAGGACATCTTATGTATGCAATAGAATTAAAAACTATGTGAATATACTCTACATAATGAGATCCAAGGCTGCCTTTAAAAGAGATGAGAATCACAAATAAGGAAAGATGAAAAGCATAATGAATGTTGTGAGATCGTTTAATATGAATCCATGTTTTTTTCTTAATTTTAGTTATATATTTTAATTTTTTTTGAAATAGATTTAAACTCAAAATTTGAAAAATGTAGTATCAATTGTCTCAGTATTACCTTGCCCAAGCTTTCAGTAATACTAGCCACACACAAAACTACAGTATAAGTATCAAGCCAGAAAGTTAACATAAATGTAGTGCTATTAGATAACTAATTTGCAATCCAATGTAGATTTTACTATTTTCCCAAGAATGTCTTTCCTTTAGCTTCTAGTGTAAGATTCAAGATCACATATTACATTTAGTTTATGCCTTCTTAACATCTAATCTGTGACAGTATTTTATAGTTCTGTTGTCTTTCATGCTCTTGAAACTTTTGAATTTTACCGGCCAGTTATTTTGCTGAATGATCCTCAATACTATTTGCCTGATATGTTCTGCTGATTATACTGAATCTTTCATTTTTTGCAAGAATATTACAGATGGGATATATCCTCAGTGCATCATATCTGGAGT